TCCTTAATTTATATACCAGCCAAACATGAACGTTTGATACTGCATTCCATCTACAAAAGCGACAATTTCAACTCGTTTTACATAAATGTTCAGTTTTAGTTTCTATTTTACATCTTTTGGGTGAAACGGATGTGAATAAAAACTTTGGCTAAATAGAGATAAACCAAACATATGCCTAAAGTTGTCGAAATGCATATAAATGTGCAAATTATCAAAATAAAATCAAGTAGTTTTGTATACGTATTTGCAAAAGTCAAGTTAGACTATGTTAATGAAACATGTTTAAAATATATATGATTTATCAATCATATATAACAGGATATGTTAAATTGTTAATGAAAGAGTTTAATACTAAAAAGCTTTTGGCCTAGCAATATTACTTATCAGGTGTCTTGGAAATGTGTTTAAGTCTTTTGGTGGATAAAATATATGATTTACAATGTGAGTTATATTGTACTAAAAAAAATGAGGGTTTCCTTATGTGTGAAAGTTAATGGTATACCACATTACGTTTCGAATATATGATATAAAACCATGATTTAAACTCATAAGTCAGGATGGCCGAGTGGTCTAAGGCGCCAGACTCAAGTTCTGGTCTTCGTGAGAGGGCGTGGGTTCAAATCCCACTTCTGACATTTAAAGAAATTACTTTTTATTGCTTTACCGTTTATGTGAGATATGGTTTTTATTGCTTTCCTGTTTCCATGACCAATTGTTTTTTATTTAATCAATTTGACAACTTATATATCAAAATCAAACCTCATTAATGCAATAGAATGTGTCATGCTCAATATATGATACCACAATACTATTAAAGTAATAATATACCTGTTTTATTTCATAACAAAACTATACAACTTTTATTTCAAAACAATCATTTATGCCCAAGAGATGACGTGTGTTAGTTCCGTCTTGGAACGAATTCAACATGTCACAAAATCAAATTACAAAGGAATTGTAATCAAGCATCTTATCAAAACATAAAACATTATAAACACATCACAATCACAAACAAAAAAAACAGGCAAAAAAAAAATTAGTTTCAACAAACAATAGTTAAACTCTCAACCACACCACAATCGTTAAGATAGGTGGATGGGAGGCCAGCCATCAAAAGATACACCAGATGGTTTGAACATGAGGATTTTCGAAGTCTGTGGCTTCCTTAAGAAAATTAAAGCACTCGCCATCAGCTCCGTTGGTACACGACCTATCCTCTAAGATATAAGTAGACATGACAATAGGACGGGTTTGGAGCGAATAGACCTTTATCCAAACCTTTTTAACAAATTTTAAAATCTGATCCAAACTCGCTCGGTAACCCACAAGGTTTTACATAATCAAGCCCATATCCTTATCCACCGAATCAACATATATTCAAACCTACCCCATAATCCATATGTTTTTTGAATAATCAAACAAATTTTACTTAATTCTTAAAATAACATTTGTTAAATAAAACAAATGTTGATTTAGTTAATGTATTACTAATTCGAGGACTTTCGATTGAAACTAAAAACACTATTATAATAACTTCCGATTGATTTTTGACTTTCGATTGGAATTAAAATCACACTTCTCATTGTGCTCTAGAGCCGCAATGCAATCACAAACAACATACAAAACACACCTTTCATTTTCCGCGCTCACCTTATTTTTTTTGGGCTAAAAAACAATACTTTCATTTTCCGCGCTCACCGTATTTTTTTTTGGGCTCAAAAACAATACTTACAACTTGGGGTTAACTTGGTTTATAGACCCTTTATCCAATTTTAATATATCTTTTTGGCACTTGCTTATTTTTAGTATTAGTTTAATTATTTTTGCCATTCACATGCAACTTGCAAGTTTGACATGAAAGCCGACTAAATTATTTTACATGTGCACGTACCATTGACTAATTTTATTCCTTAAATAGATAAAACTTATGATTTTTTTTATTATCAAATATTAGTATTGCACTAGGAAATTAAAAATATTACATGTAAAAAAGGTTATTTTATAATTTATAATAAAGGCTACTTTATAATAAAATCTTTTTTTCCAACCTAACATTTTTATGACTATATATGATTAATAGTTAACAAATCTTGATTAAATTAATGTAAATTGTGTTTTTTTAAGCTAAAAGACGTCTGAAGAGGTTTGAAGACTCTAGTCCACATCTGTACCAAGAAGATGACATAAAACATTCTTAGGTCTGCAATCTTCTAAAAAACAAACAGTCTGCAAAGGTTAATGTGTGTACACAAAAGAGATCAAAAAGATTTATAGATAAAAAACAAACACCACCTAAATAGATTTAGGTTAATGCACTAACTCCGTTATTAATTATATAAACAAATAAACGTTAAAGTTCGATTATGTTCAAGATATATAAATATAATACCCACCTAAATATCGAATACCAAGTGTTACATAAAGTAATCAACAACGAATTGTTAGCTGGCCTAAATTATTATTACGAGGAGTGTCAAATTTACTAATTAATTATATATTT